ACACACACACATACATATGCTGTATACGGTACATTCTACTTTTGCTCCCATTCATTCTAAATGGAAGCTTTTTTTTTTTCGCATCTCCCTGCAGTGTACCCTCACAAGCAGGAGCCGCCGCAATATTCTCACCCGTCTCGCTTCCCGTCGGCCATGGTGGTGACGGACGCCAACACCATCGGTACACTCGGCTCCATGACGCCCAGCAAGACGGTCAGTGTCGACACCAAAAAATGTCACGTGTGCACACTCTACACTTCCTCTCACAGCGCCCACCTCATGATCATGTCGCTATTCACGGGTACGAAGCTATTACTTTGCTTTATTTCACATCATAACAATATTAACCCCCTCAAAAAATCCCTACAAAAAATACAAGCACAATAATTAACATCCTAACACGCCAATGGTTTATGCAAAAAAAAAAAAACACAGCTCACACTTTTATGGGAAATCTTTGCACAGGGCTGGGACGTGGGCCAAGGAAGAACTATTTGACTTTTTTTCTTAGAAATACAGCTCTGGAAAACATTAGGAGATTAAAAACAACAAATACAGTGAATCTTTTTTCGCCATATTTTTCTTTTTTTTAATTAACAATGTATATGTGAGGAATTTGTGATGGTTGTCAATTTTTTATTGAATAAACCAAACATGCTCATTTGTCTAAAACACAAAAAGTTCCTACAAAGAGCAAAATCAATAATCTTGCAATGGTCACTTTTTCCAGATCTGTATATATTTCTATTTCTATTTTTTTGCGATACCAAATTGAAAGAATGTATTTTTTTCTTTTTTTGAATGTTTTATAATAAGATTTTTCATCATGTCAAAGTTATTTTGATATGTTTTGAAGACATTATTACACATAAAATAGATTTAGATGATAGATGCAATTAGATTTTTTTTACAAGACTTCTCCTCCGTGCATATTTTGAAGAGGTTACCTACATGTAAAAATGCTATATTAAAAAGAGGTTCAATAAATAATAAGTGGATTACTTTTCTTCAAACATAATACAAAAAAACCATACTTCCTTCAAAACATTTAAAAAAAGCATTAAAAAAAATCTCTCTCTCATCAATTATTGAAAGAAACACAAATAAATATACAATGTTTTTTGTTTAAATAAAGTTTTTTTTAAATACATGACTGTATCAAGAAAATAACTGTTAGGAAAAAAACAACATAAAAAATGGTCCGCACGTTTGTCTCGCAGTGCAGAGGTGTAAGATTTGATTCCGGGCTTCGACCTTCCTGTGTGGAGTTTGCATGTTCTCCCCGTGCCTGCGTGGGTTTTCTCCGGGTACTCTAGTCCCCCCCCCCCACCCCCCACACACACGTTCTAAAAACTTAATCCCAGGTGTGATGGTGTGTGTGAATGTTTGTCTTTGTGTGCCCTGCGATTGGCTGGCGACCACTTCAGGGTGCTGCCCACAGACAGCTCAAATAGATTCCAGCACGCCTGCAACCCTCGTGAGGGTAAGCGGATTAGAAAATGGATGGACATTCAATATTTTTTTTCAATGGTTTTCTTTCAAAAAAAATAATAATAATCGTATTTGTTTTTATGGAAAATACGTTTAGAAAGGAGATTTAAAAAAATACATCCATCCATCCATTTTCCAAACCCACTTTATCCTCACAAGGGTCGGTGCTGCAGCCTATCCCAGCTGTCTTCGGGCAGTAGGCAGGGGACACCCTGAACTGGTTGCCAGTCAATCGCATAGACGAACAACCATCCGCGCTCACAATCGTGTGATTGGGACAATTTGGAGTGTTCAATCAACCTCCCATGCATGTTTTTGGAATGTGGGAGGAAACCGGAGTACCTGGAGAAACACCCACGCAAGCACAGGGAGAACAAGCAAACTCCACACAGGAAGGCCGGAGCCGGAATCGAACACTGCGCCTCTGCACTGTGAGGTGGACGTGCTCACCAGTCAACCACTGTTCCGCCCTTAAAAAAATAAATGTAAACGTTTTTCAAATAACAAATGCAGTTAAAAATTAGACATGCAAAAACGATTATATTTATTTCATTTCAATGTGTCTTATTTCGTGTTTGAAATTTTATCCATGTCATCGGCATATTATGTTTTTTTGGAGACACTAGTTTATGTCCAATCTATTATGTTTATAAAATATCTAAAATATATTTGTTTGTCTTTCAATGGATGGTTAAATGTTTTTTTTTAAATTTTTTTTAGGATTCTTTTGCCCATGTCCTCTTATTTTCATGCATTTATTAATTTACATTGCCCTTATTTTCTCAGCGACTAACACAAATTCAAATATAGTGGATACATTGACAGATTTTTTTTTTAATTCTTTGAATTTCTTTTTTTTAAACGTAGTTTTGTTTTGTTTTGTTTTTCTGGCTCAACATTTTCCTTAATTTCTCACGCATCTTAGTGCGCGCTCACCCACAGACAGACTCATAAACACACCTAAAGTATTTTCCTATGATGGCGTGTTGACTTGTTGACTTCCTGTCACACATTAGGATGCTCCGGTAAACAAGATGGTGCAACTCGGGGGTCTCTCCTGGGTAAATACTTTGTTCTATTAGTCCAGTCAAGCCACACACACACGCACACACACACACACACACACACACACACACACACACACACACAAACATACTCCTCCGTCTTTCCATTTCCTGTCCAATCTGCGTCTCGTTCCTTGGAGCTGAACGTACGTTGATTGATGGCGGGAGGAAATGAGGCTCTTAATCCAACGTCTCAAGCTTGGTGTCATGCTACAGTAGATAGAAAGGAACAAATGGGGGAGGGTTAGCATTATCGACGGCTTACACATCTAAACTTGTTGAAACAAACATTCGAAACGCATTGTCAACATACAAAACTGATGTGAAATGTGAACGTCTAACCAAGTGGATAAATGAACATTTAATATCACTTTCGATTTTACTGAAGACTCATGGTGGTTTAGAGTTTGTGGAGTTTTTTCATTCTAAAATTGCACTCTGAACTTTCCGTCATATTGTGTAAAAGAGGCAATAACAGACGGCAAAGCGTATTATTGGCTTTTATTAACAGCGCAATGCATTAATAAGGATCCCGGTCTGCTCAGCAACACTCGGTCGGGCAACATGATATCATGTATCTTTGTTCGTCTGTCTTTGCAGTGGATAGAAAAGGACTTCACATATCCCTGTTCAAATGCCAGCTTTTTGTTTTTTTTCCAGCCTGGAGTGGGACATTAGCAGTCAGTGTTAACACAGCATTAATTTCTACTTGCAAAAATAACGTCAGGAAAAGCCAGACGGACCAGCTCAACTTTATTCGGGTTTAAGCTGAGGTACTTTAAATGGGTGGCAGGTGTGTGCTCTCTCCCACGTAATGAGTTTGAATGTGACTGGGGAATTCAGAACACAGCCACCCCCGAGTTATGAGGGTGTGCACACATGTGCAAACACATTATTCATGTTTTCTTCTACTTCCCTTCTCAAAAAGCACTTTTTTTTCCCAATTCGGTTTCAGAGGTTATGGGCCATGTTAATGGCGTCATATTGGTCACACTTTTTTTTTTATATCACAAAACCCTTCGGTTGAACAGGGGTGTGTCGACTTTTTAAATCCACTGCAAACACGATTCCGTTGTAAGAATGAGAGTAATCCAGACTCTCTTTTAAAATGAAAAGACAAAAATGAGTCCGATGCCAAATTGACAGGTTGAAGTGCGCGCCGCTTCCTCTTTCGGCCTGTGGCCTGAAATGTCGTCGGTGCATTCACACGCTCAATTTCCCACGCTGAGCTAGGCTGAGCGCTTATGCGGCCATGCCGCGTGACAGATGGGGAGGGAGGGCAAAGGATAGAAGATTTAGACCAGTGAGTCCAATGTTTACCGTGGAAAAGATTCTCCACTAGATGCTCCTAATCCGACCATTATCATTTAAATTGTATAAAATAGACATTCGTTTGGATTTTCACTCAATAAGAAATGTGGAACCTTGCAAGGTTGATTTTCAACATTGAACTTGAAGCCAATGCTTATTAATGAAAAATTATAAAAGAAAAACAGAGGAAATAATTTCCTCTTACTTTCATTCCTGTAAATTGCTATGTAATAATCATAACAATAAGAATAAAATTGAAATCTAAATCTAAATACATAGGTTTTAAATGATGAAAGCGCGTAATAAAATCTAAAAGTTGGAAGTGTCTTCACCAAATAATTATCAAGAAATGAAGACTCATTACTTTTCATGCTTTTAAGTCTTTATGTTTTGAAATCAAACAATGGAATGTGATGAATGAAATTGTCAAAATATTCTTTCAAACTAAAGTAATAAAAGTGTAACCATTCCACTCATATTCAAATAATAAGCGAGATGTAGTATTTTTTTTCTATGGCTGGAAATTAAAATAATGATCGAGTGTAGTATCCATTTATAGACTGAACAGGGATTTACTTGTCATAGAAATATTGAAGTGCAGTCAAGTGCTTCTTTATACGGGCTGGCATTTATTTCAACAATTGGTTGGTGGGCCCTCCCAGGTATTTCATTATCATGGATCTCTTGGCCGGGCCGGGCTCACCTTCTTCTCATGACACTTTTTTTTTTTAACAACACTCCCTGTTTACCCACAAGGCCTCCATTATTGCCCCCTGACGCTGACCACTCCGCCCTGCGGCTCACCTTGTTATCAGCTGTTTGCGCCGCCAGCCAGGTCCAAATAAATTCCACAAACAATCCCAAACAGGCCCCATCTATTTGGTCAGGTGTGTGACAAAAGTACTCACACCGTGTAATCAAGTAGGAGTACAGATGCTTGTGTTAAAAAAATATACATACTCTCTCTCTCTCTAAACGCATCGATATATACATAGAGAGAGAGAGAGAGAGAGAGAGAGAGAGAGAGAGAGAGAGAGAGAGAGAGAGAGAGATTTAAAAGTAAAGCAAAGAAATAAAAACGATCTTACCAAAATTACTAAAAGAGCATACAGCACATGAACAAGATTTGGGGAAACATTATTTTTAAAACGCTTTAAGACCTTGACCAGCCATCCATCCATCCATTTTATGAACCGCTTTATCCTCACAAGGGTCGTGGGGGGTGCTGGAGCCTATCCCAGCCGTCTTCGCGCAGTAGGCGGGGGACACCCTGAACTGGTTGCCAACCAATCGCATAGACGAACAACCATTTGCGCTCACAATCACACCTAGGGACAATTTCGAGTGTTCAATCAACCTGCCATCCATGTTTTTGGAATGTGGAAGGAAACTGGAATACCCGGAGAAAACCGATGTAGGCCCGGGGAGAACATGCAAACTCCAAACAGGAAGGCCGGAGCTTGGATCGAACCCACGACCTCTGCACTGTGAGGTAGACACGCTACCCACTGGATCACCAGGCTACGACCTAGATCATATAAGCATGAATTTAAAAGCATTAAACTTTATTTGGAGGGTGGTGGGGGGCACTGTGGTTGACTGGTTAGCACGTCTATTGACTGGTTAGCAGCTCCAGCTCACATTGCAGACATGCAGGGTTCGATTCCCGCTCTGGCCTTCCTGTGTGGAGTTTGCATGTTCTCCCAGGTTTTCTCCGGGTATTCCGGTTTCCTCCTACATTCCAAACACATGCACTGTAGGTTAATAATCGAAATTTTCCTCGGCGTGATTGTGAGCGCAGATGGTTGTTCGTCTAAGTGTGCCCTGCGATTGTCTCGAAACCAGTTCAGGGTGTAGCCCACCTGCAGCCCGAAGACAGGTGGGATAGGCTCCAGCATGCTCACGACCCTCGTGAGGATAAGTGGATTAGAAAATGCTGCAGCCTGTCCCAGACATCACCCTGAACTGGTTGCCAGCCCATCGCAGATGTTTTGAGTCTTTAATTCTTAATTCAGTCATAAACCATTATTCACTCTGATAATAAAGCATACCAGAAAACCAATGGACCACATTATACACAAGTACAAAGGGAAAAAAATGCTTTTATAGGGGTCGAGTCATATAGTTGTGAGGTACTGAAGTGGGATTCACTTTATTCTGTTTAAAAGACGGCAGCATGCTGGATGAATGGTTAGCACGTCCATCTCACAGTTCTGAAGCATAGTTTGAATCCAGGTCCCAACCAGTCTTTGCTCCATGTTTGTTTCCATGAAAAAAAGTGGGACCGCTTTTGTACCCTCGAGCCTCAGTTTGTAAACCTTTGCCCTACTATTTCCCTCAAGTCTGCTGTTTTTCTTCCACAGTGTCCTCTTCAAGCGTGGTGAGAGCGTGTGCACCTGACTTCCTCGCTGCCCGGCAACCCCAGTGCATTTTTTCCTCTTTTTTTTTTTTTTTTTTTTTCCACCTTTCCCGCTTGCCCGTCACTGTGGCGACGGATGACGAATCGGGTGGGGGGGGGAAGCTGCCAAGAGGGGGGACGACCACACGGCAGCCATGGCTGAACGGACCGGAGTACCTGCCAGGCGAGGATCGGGGCTTATGTGTGTCGTCGCATGATTGAGCAGGACGTATGATTGGTTCGAGCAGTGTAAACCTTTTCACAGTGACGTCGCGCGTACTTCTGGGTGGCAGAAAACGGAACTTTCAACTTGTCAACAAATTCTGTCATGTCATTTGACCAAGGCAGAGGAACATGAATTTGAAAGAAGAGAGCAAATGGCTCAAATGATGATTTGGGACTTCTTCTCGAATGTGTGACGTGTCAGTCGAAAGATTTTTGTCTCAGATTATGATCATGGCCATTTAGCGATATAAAAGAAAAATAGACTACGATTATAAATAAAACATAGGTTATTTTGGACAAAACCATTACATATCGGTGCTCAGTATTTGATGACTGGTCTTCAGTCAGTCCTAATTTCCGAATGGAGGACCCGTAACCAGCATGATTATAAGGTCCCTCCAAAGTGAAAATTCAAGTATGTCTTGTAAATTTGACACACGAACAAGAAGAGTTTGATTCATTAAAAATTTCCAAAGTATATAAAATGAGGATTCAAAATCATGAAAAATCGAGCCGTTCTCTCCGCACCTAATTTGAACGTCCTGAAACCACAACTGTCGACTGTCTACTTTGTGATGCCGACACATCCTTCCACATTTGCGCTGCGAAAATATATCTGCTTAACCATAACCCACTGGGTTGTCGCCCGGCTGTTCGACACCGCAACGATGAGGCACTCTAAAATTGCTATGCCATCACGAAGCCCCAATGCATATGCTCACTTCCAACTTCTTTTCTCATAGCTCTTCCATCTTCTCCCTTTGAAGCGTTTTTGACATTCACTCAAAATAAAGTTACATCGGGCAACACAACCCCAATCACAAGACATTTTAGTTCAGGTCAGCGGTAGTCACTCACTTTCTGCCACCCATATGTAACCTGGCGCCTGCTGTTTACAAACATTTGAAAAGGTCCATTTACTTTGTCAAGCCCACTTTTGAACGCAAAGTGATCATACGAGGAAAACAAATCACGCCTTCGGACTGCGCGACAATCCTGATGCTTGTTGATCTGGCGTATTAACGCCACCACAAAGTCTTCCTGTTTGGCACTCACATGTGTATGTATATACTGTGATTTTTTTTTTCTATATATATATATTTTTTGCTTGTTTTATTGACAATCTTCAGAGGACTATGCAAAGATTCAGCGCAGGAAGATGAGAAAAATATATACCGGTGTGTGTGTGTGTGTGTGTGTGCGTGTGTGTGTGCATGTGTGTGTATATATATCTATATGTACATCTCTATCTATCTATCTATCTATCTATCTATCTATCTATCTATCTATCTATCTATCTATCTATCTATCTATCTATCTATCTATCTATCTATCTATCTATCTATCTATCTATCTATCTAAAAAGGCCAAAGTAGACAGAAATTTTCTCCTCATCATCCATCTTTTGATATGAATATTGTTGATGATAAACTTGGACCCCCTCCGTGTTTGAGAAGCGACCACTCCTTTCATGTTGTGAGCTCAATGGAATCCAATGCGTGGAGGGCAGAGGGAGGGGGGGGGGGTCCCGACACCCAACAGTATTAGACATTCCCATGGAAACATTAGGTCATGATGTTGGTAGCGCTTTGACTCTTTGACTGTTATGAGGTGCATGTGCTTACTGCCATCCAATCCAGGGGGCGCTCATTCATACCCACATTGTGTGTGCCTGTGTATGTGTGTGCGTGTGCATGTGTGCGCGCGCGATTTATTCTCTTCTTCATGTATTATTTTTGTATAAAATGGAAATCAATCTTAAATCATTATTTATACGTGCTGAGGAAATGTTGATATTTTGAGTAAAGGTTTTTCAAAGTGAATGTGAAACGCTGCTTGTTGTTATTTTGCTTGACAATGCTAACTTTTTAAATTTGAATTTGTATTACCGCGTAGTTATTTCTGATTTTATTTTAGTTTACCTTTTTACTCCTCAGATTCTATTTTTTTTTTGTTTCGTGATTACTTTGCTTTTTTTGATGTTTTATTTTGTCGTGTATTTTTTGTTTTCATTTTTTTTTGTTTAATCTCATTTTATTTAGGTTTTACTTTTGTTGTTATAGGCGCTTTAAATCAGTTCACATTCTTTTTTAAATTTTTGGTTTTTAATCATTTTTAAAAATAGTTTTTTTACTTTTTTTTTTTTTTGCATTTTGTTTCCTTCGCGGCCAACCAAAGAAACAACCAAAATTGTGACTTTTCAAGCATGACTTCAAGAGACGTTTTTGGAGGGGATGGGGGAGGTCTACTCATTGACGACCAAATTTCATGTTCAGTCCAACTGCATTCAGAGGCTGGATGAAAAAAAAAATTGCACCACTACTAAACAAGGTCAAATGTGTGGCACGTCAGTCGAAAAGAAGACATTTCCTGAGGTCAACTGAGATAACTCGTCGGAAGGGTGACTCGATCATATGGGTACTAAATTATGACTTGTGGCTTTCATCCTCATATGTATATGAGACATGGCAGCAAAGTTGGATGACTCGACATAAAACCCTCAATTGTGGCTGTAGTTGTCAGTGCTGCAGTGTCGTCGTCATCCCCCTCCCACTCCCCAACCTAAATATCTCCCCGCAGTGTGTTCTCGTATCCCCGTGTGGACCTGCAGCCCGGTATCCTGCTGAGCGCAGTCTTGTAATCCCCTGATGTCGCTCAATTTGCTTTTCAATGAGACCTTTGATTTTCACACCCGGGAAGCCAGCAAAGATCTGAGCAGGCCCCTTTTTTTTGTTACCTTTTTCTTCTGCCCGCTACAAAGGGGGCCTGCACGCATCTGTTTGCGTGTGTTGGAAAAGCTCTCAACATCACAGCTAATGCAGCCTGAATGCTAACCGGTATCTCAAATCTGTCTTCAGTCTCTGTGCTGATTGATGGCAACCCATGGCAACGATTGACAACAATTCATTTCGTAACAATAACTCGCGTTACATACCATCAGATGTGAACCAAGAGAGAGAGAGAGAGAGAGAGAGAGATCCTGAAAATGATCGTCAACATCACTGTAGGTGGTGCCACGAAGTGTTACCGTGGCGACTGCCCTCATCTCCATGACTGTGCACGCGTCATCATGAAGCAGCACAACAACAATAAGAAAAGAGGGGGCGTGATGATGGAAGAGCTCCGTGTCGTGTGTAAGTGTTAGCCCGTCAAAGATGAGTTTCGGGGTCGCAGCGGTGAGCAATTAGCCTCCCGACCCCTGACCCCCGCTGGGCCGCCTCCTCCGTCAGGGCCTTTGGGGCCCAGCTGGAGTTGATGTAGCATCCTTTCTTGTGACACTGCTAAACACGCCGCCGCGTTCAGCACGCATCCACCACTTTCTGTCTCGTTGCATGCGCCTCCCTCAGTGTCGCCATGAGGTCAACTGCAAAGTTTTGAAGTTGACTATATATATATATATCTAGCACAGTGTTTCTCAAAAGTGTGTTATGTGGGCTCACTGTCGTAGTACATGAGAATCACCGAATCAAGTTTTCAAACTGCACAATTTATATGATATGTAGCTTTATGTTTTTTTTTTCTTTAAACCAGTCCAGTGCATTTGCTTTGTACAGCTTAGTTGTATTTCACTTTTATGTACTCTACATTTGCATTTACATGCTTCAAACTGTTTGCTTGCATTGCTTTTTGTTTTTTTTAATTCGGCTACAAACGTTAGGCTTTCAAACCAGCATTTCCACCCAGCGTTCGGGTTTCAAATCAAGGGTAGGATTTTAAATGAAGGTGTGAAACCAGTCTTATTGTTTGAAATTGGGGTTTTAAGTCAGAGTTTGGTTTCAAACGAGAGTTGTTGTTTCACGTCTTAGGGTATCAAACAAATGCTCCTGAGTTCCGATTTTAAATGAGGACTCCTAGCCTGAGTTGGGGTATTAAATGAGAGGTTCAAACCCGGGTTATGATTTCAAATTAAGATTTTGGCTTGTTTTGGGATTGGCTTTCAAATTGAGGTTTAAAGGCAAGGTTTGGGTTTCTAGTTATGTTTCCAGCCTGGGTTAAGCTGTCAAAGAAATCTTTCAAGCATGAGACTGGACTTCAAATTAAGGTTTTGAACCTGGGTTGTTGTATCAAATTACGTGTTCAAGTCTCTGTTAGGGTTTTAAACTAAGATTTCCAACTAAGGTTAAGGTTTCAGGCTTGAGCTGGGTTATCAGGTTTTTGAGTTGAGGTTAGGGTTTCACATTGGGGTTTGAAGGCTGGGTTAGGCTGTGAATGAAAAATTTCAAGAATCGGATGTGGTTAGGATTTCAAAGTGGGGTTTCAGGTTTCAAACAAGGGTTACATTTTGAGGTCAAGGTTGGGGTTTGAAATATGGCTTCAAGCCAGGATTAAAGTTTAGGATAAACGGGTCAGTTTGTTATCGGTATTGCTTTTGTATGTTGTTATGCACTGCATCACAGGCTTGCTTAGTTCTCGTGCTTATAGTGTATTGTTATTTGTATTCACCTCACATTTGATTGATTCTGTACCATACAACAACTACAAAAATGTCTTCTTTTGTGATGTGAGGTGTCAGACTGCTCACACGTTTGGAAGTGAATGTCTGACAGATTGATGTCGTCATGCTGATGCTTTGTCATGATTTACGGCACAGTGGTTAATGTTCACCTTTCTCGGCCCACCGCCATTCACCGGGACGGGGGTATAACGGGTTTGTTGGGGGGGCAAACCTGGAGGGGGGTCCGGTCAGATCTGATCCCAGACTTGTGAATGGCCTTCTGGCAGAGGAGGAGGAGAAGACAGCTACAGCTACAGAGTGATGGAGCCTCATTGGGCTTCTAATGAACCTCAATTAGAGGTGTGAATACATGCAAACATCTGTAAGGAGATGCGATCTAATCACTAATGGGTGACATCGTTAATCACCCTAGCATGACTAATAATGGATATTCAGCTATTGACATTCAAAAGGGGAGAAGACCTCCAGACAAAGTGCCCAGGCCTGTGATCATCGTTGCCCAACCAAGAGAGGCCTCAGCTGGGGAACTTGTACTCATTCTGGCCCCTTAAGTCTGGTTCTTTTTTTCTACTCCCTCACTTTCTTATTCATTTTTGAAGCAATTACATTAATAAATCATCATCATCATAATGTCACATGACATTTTCAGGATCAGGGTTTCATGCCAGAACTAGGGTTGCAAATCTGGGTTACGTTAGGGCAGGGGTGACAAACTTATTTTTGTCATGGGCCACTTTGGAGTTTTATTTCTTCCCTCAGAGGACCGTTATGACAGCAAAACCACAAAAATGTTTAATCGCCTCGTCGCATTATTGTTAGTACACAACAAATTAATGGATTTCTAGTTTTGAAATCAGTCAAGTCAATAGTCTAT